GTATAATGATTTTTTTCCCCCAAGTGAAAATATTCCATGCACATTGATAAAAAATTACAACACAGGATACTATAAAACCTGATTGATATTTTATTACTTTTTCTTAAAGCATACTTAAAGCATGAAAAAATTTCAGCAAGAACCTTAATTATTATGTAGCAGAAAAACATTGTAAGAATCTACTACATAAAATTAATAGGAATCTCACCATGATGCAAAAAGAAAACAATAATTCAAAAGTATCATTCATTAAAGAATTCTAATTATTTAGTGTGTTTAATGCATAATTTTTTTTCAAGAGAAAATATTCTATAAATATTAATAAAAAATAAATAAACACAGGATACTATAAATCCTGATTAACAAGATGATGTTATTTTATTTCATCTTACTAAAGTAATGTAAAAAAAGTTATCAGTTTATTTAATGAGCAAACAAGGGAAAACATTGATTTAAGTGTCTATTAATATGGCCACAAAAAGCAAAATTTAAAAGAAAAAAAAGCAACATACATTGACTTCAAAGGATCCTAATTATTAATATAACATAATAAAAATAAAAAAAAATTTCAAAAAGAAAATAGTTTCTGAAATATTCTGTAAGTCAAAAGCTTCCTCAAATAACAGAAGGAAAAAAAACTGAAACATCTTTTTCACATCTAATATTGAAACAGGATATTAAAATGAAATAATTGACAGCATTGCTGTGATGTTTTTTGCTTATCCACAAGAGTAAAGAAATTTTATCAGTTTATTTAGATTTTAGAAAAGCTTGTTCTACATTGTTGCAAGAATCTATTCTACAATATGTGAACAGGATGTTGAACTAAAACATGATTACCTCATAAGATGTCAGTAAACATAAACAGAACATGCAAATTTTTTATTTTTTAGCAAAATAAATAAAGAACGAAACACTTAGTTAATCTAGTTTAAATTCAGACGATTTTCCAAAAACTTATCAATAAGTAACTAAAATAATAATGCATGGAATGCACCATACTTTTAAAAGATGTCAACAAACATACTCAGAACATGCATCTTTTTTTTAAACCGAAAGAAAGAAAGATAAAAGATATAAAAACTACAATAAACCAACTTAATTTAGTTTAAATTAAGTCTGTTTAAGTGATATTTTCAAAAACTTAACAGGAAATCGTGCAACTAAAAATGTCCAATACCTTGCTCAGCTGGATCAATCTTATTTACATTTATCCCAGTAAATATAATATAAACAATATTAAAACAGAATTAATTATTTCTCGTAACTTCTTTTTGAAATTGAAATTAATGTAGTTATATTAAAAGCTTTTATGTAGATGACACGATACAGGAACCTCCCTGTTACTTTTGATGATACACAAAGTAAACAATACAAACATTTTGAGTGCATTTAGAGTATAAGTAAACTCTTAAAACTGTATTTTTCATGTTCTAAAAATAAGTAAAAATAGGACATTTTATTTTTGGAAGAGTTCCAGATGATGTTAGGCTTAGAAGAAAAATTGTTAAAAATACTTCTACAACGTCACTTATAATTACCTTCCATCCTTACTGCCTCGTCGAATTTTAGTCGTCTTGATATAGAACAAAACTAAAACCTGTTTGAATTCCTTGATTGCATGTTTTAAATGTTTATTTATGAATATCTATTTAAAGTTTATTTAGAAATACATATTTGACATGTTTTAGTCACATGTAAATAAACCAGGAGACCATTTGCCCTGTCATATTGTTTGTGTTTACATGGTAACATGAATGGAAACCAAGAATAGGAGCCCGGTATCATGGCGCCATCTACAAGATTAAATAATAATTCATTCCAAAAATTAATAATAAAGGGGCAATATTAATTACTAGTTTTATTAAAAAAGTTTTATTGCAACTTTTTTTCACCTTTCCGACAAAGAGTTAGATACTAATTTCAGTGAATAATTATTTCATCTTTTTTTTCTTCCGAATACATTTTTAATCTATGCTGAAATAAAAACCTACACAATTAATAAAATTTGTTTTGTAAGAAAAATATAGGCAAGTCTATAAAACTTTAACAATAAATTCAGGAGGAAATTCTCCTTATATTGAGATAGCAAGTAAGAGATAATGAACAATGATTTATTTCGTTTGGTTTATTTTATCATTGAGATTTATTTCTTTTACGAAACATTAGTGCTGCCCTCTATGGATACAAAATCACAACAATTGTAAGTTTCCCAATAAGTAATTAGAAGGGAGACTACTGCAGCTGTATCTTCAGACCCCCTAATCTTTTCGCCTAAAAATTATTTAAAAATTTTCAATGCATAATGTTTTTCATTAAAAAAAATTTAAAATGTGTCAAAAGTATATTAATTTTTATAAAATAATAAAAAATGTATTAAGTATTTTGTGTGTAATAAATTTCAGAAAATGGAAAAAAAGATATTTAGTCATGTTGTTATCTTTCTAAAAATGTGAGACTGCTACAGAAAGAAAAATTGTAATAAATATCTTTACAGCTGTGTGTTTAATCATTTATGCTCTCTATTCCATCATCGATTATCATTTTCTGCTTCAAGCAGCTACAGGTGAGTGGTCTGGTCTGTTAAATTTTTTGTTACCATCTACTAAATAATTTTAATTTACTTGGGCTGTTAGGTAGGCAAAATTAAGACAAATTTAGTACAAAGGGAAAATTGAAATTTTAGTTTTCAATTTTTTTTTCAAAATTTGCAAGTAGGGTACCAGCTTATGTCTCCATCATTGCTTTTAATCTCTGAACTTCTCTTTCTTCAGAGTTGTGTTTTCAGTGACCTCGGAAGTATGTTCAGTAACCCCGGAAGTATGTTCAGTAACCCCGGAAGTACGTTCAGTTACCCCGGAAGTATGTTCAGTAACCCCGGAAGTATGTTCAGTGACCCCGGCCGGAAGTATGTCAAAAGTAGGGGATGCTGCCCCCTTTCCTCTGTCTCTCTCTGTATGTAGTATATACAATGGTGAGAATTAGCAAGCTCCAAGTAGCGAAACTACTGTAGTTGCTACTTTTTTTCGTAGTTTGTAGTGTAGTGAGCTATTTTTTAAAAAAAGTAGTGTAGCGTTGTAGCGAATGGTGCGATACTAAAAAAAACAATGATTAGTAGCGATTTCTGGCAACTACTTTTAACGTTAGTTTAGTAGAGAAACAGGAATTAAATGCAACTAGTTTTTTAAATCTCGTCGATTCAAATCTTCAATGGACGTAATTAAAATGCCCCTGTGATTGAGCAATAAGTAGAATTACCTATTACTAATTACTAATTTATCACTTGGACCACCTCTTCAAATGCGAATGTACACGCACAAAAAATTTATGTTATTTAAATGGAATGACTTTCTTTGTTACTTTAGTTTTGATGTACAGTGCGCAAAATAAAAAACGGACCACCATGAATAACATTTAATCTAATGATCGGATTTTCACGTTTTAGGACTCATTCTCAATGGTTCAAGGGGGGAACCTTGAATATGCTTATTTATTAGCTAAGTAACGAAATCAGACACAAAAACGTACTTTCTCTGAATAGACATACTTTTCTTTCGATAAATTCGAATTTTTGATCCTTGAAATATAGGGGGTAGCCGCAATCTGGAAAATATGATCCCCATAGTTTGATAAGGCGAGTGATGCTCGGACCACTTAGTATTAATTTTACTTCTGCGTATTTTGAAATTTCTCGAGAATTTTTCGAGCGAATTAAAAAAAAAATTTCAATTCGTTACACACAATTATTATAATTCGTTTATCCAAAAGATAAATCCATGCAAAACAAAAATGTGTGAATATTTATTATTTTTCTTATTATTTTATTAAAAAGCAATTGAAAAAATTTTGAGGTGAGGTTTACAACTTTTTCGTCATTTTAAAGTATATAATTTTACATGGCAAAATAGAAAATTTGAGCGAAATCGGTTTAATAGTTCTTGAGAAATCTAATTTTAAAGAGGTCGTATATTTAAAATTTGATTTCTCAGAAACAATTTTGTTCGAATTTTGCATTATATTTTTATGATGCAGAATTTTTATCAGGCATATTTTTCATACTGTTTTCATTATTTTGTATTAATTCAGGTCAAAATAAGTGAAAAATATTATATTTAGCATTTTAATAATTTATGGATATAAAATACAGCATGAGATATCGATGGGCTTTCTTTTTTTCTTCTCTTTCTTTTGCGTTAAAGGTAAAATCTTCCAAACACGGCTCACTTCTAAATAATTATTTTTCAAAATTGAACTTATTCGCGGTTATTTAGCTCTAAGAGAAACAATTATTTATTATTGAAATTCCTTTAATTTACAAAATCAATTATGGAAAAAAATTTTGAATATGAATGGAAATTTTTCTTTTCAAACTAAGTCTTTTTTTTTATGATCTTGTATTTTAGCACTAATAAAATTCCGATGATCTAACAGATTTTTTCAGAAACTATTTAGCTGCTCCTTATAATTAAAGAATAGCAAAATATAATTTTATTGTAATTAGCGCAACTGAAAGAAATATATTGAAGGGACACTGTTGTCCAATCTGCGTCAAAGGGCTTGACTACTGATATAATTCTATCGTATTTTAAAATAATTAACTAGTAATGAATGATTACGAGTAGTATTGAAAACAAACTACGCAAATTTTCTTATTATAAATGGTTAGGTACATGCAAGTATTAAAAATTATAAATGTTAATAATAAGCATTAATAACAGGACACAAGTATTAATAATAAGACATAAGTAATAAATATTTCTATAAATTTTGGATTCATCGTTTCACATTGAAACCGTTCGTTTTTTCATGTCCATTTTATCCACCGCGCACTTCAAAACTAAGTTAATTTTCTAAAATGCGTGTCATTAGTTAAATCTCGGTCCAAAAAAAAAAAAAAAAAAAAAAATTTATTTTCAATAAGGCTCTTTTACTTAAGTACGCATTTTGTACTATGTCTAAACTATAAAGTAAATTGACGTAACGCAGTGTTCTAATCACTATTTTATAATAAATTAAAAGAATTTTATTGAATTAAAAACAAACAGCAAGTTATTAAGCACATATTCGACATTTCATTGTTGGCAAAGTGGTATATATACATGTGTCACATCAATCATCCAAGTCTCTCCATCTATAAGGTCTGAACACAAGTTTGGGATGCTGCACCTGATCGGGATGACAGCACACCATTGGAATAAAGTTATTCAACCAACCACACCTTATTGGATGATTTCCTGTACTGATGGCCATTCTTGCTGCATAACATATACGAACGTCAACGCAACGTCCCAGCATACCATCATCTGTTTTGCAGGGTGGCTCATCTACTCTTGGGTACAAAAATCGTGATGTCCGCACAGTATTTGAAGCTGAAAAAGAAAGAACAATGGATACCAAGTGGCCGAATTTTAATATAAAATTTGTATCACTGCAATAAAAATAAATTTAACTTTTTATTTATTCTGGGATTTAAACGGTCAAAATATTATATAATATTATTTAAATATTATATAATTTAGTTATTCTGGAAATAATCTTTTTTCTTCCGACTTAGTAGTTTTGTGATCTGTATGAAGTTTTTAAACTTTTATTTACTCAATATCGAAAAATAATACAGTCAAAAACATGCAGGTCTACCTATGTGTACCTTGATATGCATGGCGATATTTATGACAGCGTAGTAGTCAAGTAAAATCTCTTAATATTATGAGCATTTAATTTTATATCTACTTATTATGTGTATTTTAATTAATTGTTTTGTATTAAGGTACATACATACATACATTGACTCTTCGTGTTTTTTTCTCTCCATAACTTTTAAATAAACCCCCAAGAATTAAGTATTTTTTTTTTTTAATAATTATTGTTAGATTTTTTTCAAAGGGTATTTATTTTGCGCGGTTTACATAATTAAAATAGCTTTAAAACCAGCATTTAATACAGAATTATTGCATTGCACTTAGATAAAACTTTGTATTTTTTTAGCTTATTTTTCTCTCTAAAAAGTTATTAAATCTTTTCATCATTGTATTTAAGTATACCGTAATATAAGATTATGCAAATAGGTCGTGAGTTCAATCCTCTGAGTAGTAAATGGTAACTTGTGCACGTTAAATCTGTAGGGTCACAAAGTCCTGCAAGTTAGCATAGCACATCAATACCTCTGGGGGTACTGAATTGGAGATTGATCGTTGTCTGGTTCAGGTCAAAATTACGATCTGTGAATAAATGAATGAATCTATTTTGCGAAACGTGCTGAATGATATATAAATATTACTCGTAAATACCGTTAAATAAAATACAAATAAATATTTTACTTATTGTGGGGGAATATTTTTTTTGTTTAATTATTCATTATTTACAGCAATATAAAATCATAGCTCAAGTATTGTTTGATACAGAATTAAAATGCTCAATTAAAAAAATAATCACAGAAAGCATTGAAAGGGGGGGGGAAGAAAGTATATTATCCAAGATTAGCCGAATGCATTTTTAGAATTAATACATTTTAGATGTAGCATAATTAATTAATATATTGCACAGACAGAGCCTGACTAGGGCAGGGGCGTATGGGGCACATCAAAGGCATCCCGGGCCCCTTCATCAGAGGGGACCCCCAAATCGAATAGAAAGTTTATTTTAGGTTTCCTTCTTTAATGAACTTTTTTTTAAACAAAATACTTGTATAGTGTAAAATCTATCAGTTTTAAGTTAGCTTCTTCACTATTCTATAGTATGAACGCAAAAAATCTAGATTTCGTAAATCCTTCTAGGGCGAATTTCAGCAAAACTTTCGCAATGACAAATTTGGCCAATGAAAAGCCTGTACTTTTACACATCGCAAAATGCGATATGTTTACAAAAGTATGGGCTTCTGATTGGCTTAATTGAGCCATCGTCATTGCGAAAATTTAGCCTAATTCCGCCCTACTGTCAGCAGGGATATGAATTTTTCTCACCTAGGTGACAAAATTAACAATCAGAAAACTGCATGATGAACATAAAATTGTCAGAAAATCAATAAAATGGACAGAACGATGCTTCGTCTGACCATTGGAGGAATTCCTAGCTATTTTAGGTTCTGGTCAAATTTCTTGTTAAATATCTGATGTAATGAGGCGAAAAATTTAAATACCTCCATAAAGTTTGGTTCTATTACTGGAGTAGGTAGTGAAGCAGGAGGGGCAAGGAAGTTTTTGCCCCGGGACCCTAATTAGGCTAAGTCGGGCCCTGTGCACAGAACACTTAAAAGAAACGCTTATGAGGGTAAATCTTTAAAAAAAAAAAGCAATTAGGTGGAAGAACAAGCAAAGGAGAAAAATATAGAAGAATAAAAATTATCTCAGCAATAACATCAACAGGTATGGAGTCTCCTCTACATTTTAAGAAGGGGAACTGTACTTACTTTGAGCACATCAGTTAAATTTCACATAGACATTTCGCATAGATTTCTTTAACCAAATATCAGCACTAAACATATTATTAATAGTTGTAGATCGCACTCTGCCAAAGGGTCCAGAGGCTGTTTTTCGAAAGCTTAGGCTATGAGTTTGCTATGACTGTTAGGTCAAATTTAGCCTACCAAAAGACAGCGCTGTCTATGCTTACTTTGAAGATGGCACAAAATATCATTATGAAGAAAAGTCACAGTTTTATGAAAATGAAGAGCGTCTGTGGTTTAATTTTTTATTATTTAAAAACGTACTTAAATGTTGCATTATCTGAGCTCATAAAATTTTGCAAAAACTGAGAATACGGCAGTGATTTTGATAATTTTCATCTATATGGGAAAATGTCGCCAAATTAACGATTTTTAAAAAAGTTTAATAATTTCTAAAATATTTAACTTATTCTCTTTGTCCGAGTCCCACTTTGTTGGTCAGTCTATATCAAAATGTCATATTTTAGCAATATTTAATGTTATTAATTAGCCTCATTCAATTTGCAATTGTATCAATTTACATAAAAACGACCATGTGTTTTTTTTCAATTAAATAAATATAAATTTTTAATTTTAATTAAAGGAGCATGAAAAATATAAGACATTATATTTTTTTAATTAAAAAAACAATTACAAGTAATGGAATGATGAACAGGTCTTAAAATATCAAATGATCTGCATACTTATAAATTAAGCATATAACTAAAAAGAAACGTTGATAATATTTTAAAGCAATTTTCTATATTTGTGAATTATGTTATAATAAGCATTGTAATTTGAAAACATTAAAATCATTTATAAAAATAGAACAATAAAATTTGTTTAGGTTGATAACAGAAAAAAAATTCTAAAAACGAACTGAAAAATAAGATATAAAATTCAAAGACAGCACCTTATTACTATTTATGTTTTTGATTGTAGTAAGCATAGTGTATTGTTTAACAAAATTAAAAAAACATAGAAAACTTTCGATCAGAACTAATTCTACAGTTGCATTTTTTAAATAATTTTGAAAGCTATCAAAACATGGAGTTGATGATTTTGATGGTCCGTTTTATTTTAAGAATTTTTAGAGATAATATGACTTAACTTTAAATTTACTCAAATTAATTTCTTTTAGAAATATATTTTTGCAAAAGAGCAATAATGTGTAAACATTAAAAATTGCATATCACATATATTTATTTGAAGTAACACAGACTCACATTAGCAATTAAACTCAAGATTATAAAGATATGTACAGAAAAATTCGTTAAAAAAATCTAAGCTTACCTTTTCTTTCTTCTTTTTTTTAAACTATTTATTTTTAAATCATGGTTTAAACCACAGCCAACCCTTATATAAACCAATATAGGTACCGGTACTACAATACTTACCATAGGTACTATGAAAATAAGTTTTTAAAGATCAGTCGAATGGAATAAGCATCGGAGAAGATTGTCGATTATGAAAATTTTTGACATTCAGGAGTTGGCCTAGCATTATGCTAAATGATACTGCATATGGTCAATCTTTATTTTGATGGGATGAACTTCTAAATACATCTTTTGCTTAATTTAATAAAATAACGCCGATAGGAATAGCAACAATTAATAATAAATATAAATCCTGAAATTGTTTTAACTTAGTTAAAAAAAATTTCGGTACACAACTTACAATTTCCTGCGGTATTCATGATTATTACCGATTTATTAATTATTTAGCTTTTTTTCTTCCTTCCCGTACGAAAAACGAGTATTCAGTTAGTAATAATAATAATATACTTGTTCCGAAATAAAATTAAATTCATTAACAAGCCAGTGTGTCTGAAACGCAAAGTATTGCAAACCAGAAACAATAAATTTATGTGTTGAAACCTTTTAACGGCTACTTTTTTTCTTTCTATTTAATAATTATTGATTCGATGTTATTTCAAATTTTCAATTTTCTCCAGAACTTTGAACTCTCCGCGTTTTAGCTTTCGATGACATGCGAGGGATTTTCTAGGGCTGTTTGTTGACTACCTGTTGCTAATTTCCCTTACCAGGTTCTTCCAACCGAAAAATATTCAAATGCTGCCACTTACCTAGTTCTTCCACTGAGTATCTCCGGAAATAATAGATTTAGCTATGTCACATATTAAAATAAGACTATAATAAAAACTTTCCTTGAAAAATCTTTTTTTTTTTTTTTAAGTGTCACTTACCTGGTATTTCAACGTAGCTCTTCATACATATAAGTGCAGAGTTTTACTACGTTTTTAACTCTTGTCACTATATCTCTTTCAAAAATACTATTCTCTGTAACATTTTAAATCACAAAAAGTGTGTTATGATGTAAAACTTGAAGTATGAAAAGGAACAGAATTTTTTTCGCAAGCGATTCCTTAAGGCTTTTTACGAAATCGTTTTTTAATTGTAAAACTTTATCAAAAGTAATATTAAAATGTTTTGATTTAGTAAACTATTCACCAATATACTGAAATATATTGTAATTTGTACAAAATATGAATTCCTTATTTCATCAAATTTTTTGTGCGGAATTTTCTCATACTTTAACATTAGATATCTCATTTTTTAACACCATTGTTTAAATATCTTCTTATTACATCTCCTTGTAAAAGACTATTCTATAGAGTACTTTGAATACCAAAAAGTATGTTGTGTTATGATACAATAATATTCCTTTAAAATTTCCAATCAATTTAAAGTGGAAAAAAATAACACAATTTTTGGAACAAACGACTTTTTAAAAAATTTTTTTTCTTTTCAAAATCGTTTTCTAATTTCAAAGCTTTTTAATTAGTAATACCAAATCGTTTTTTGGGTCAGTCATTATTCTACAATCTACAAGACAATATTTTGAGTTATGGGGAAGATAAATTCTGATTTGAATATATTTTTTATAAAAAAAATATCAATTCAGAGTTATTTTATGACTTAACATTAGGATACAACCTCCTTAATACCATGTAATTTGATAAAAATGTTAAGAAGACAGAACAAAAATATTTCTTACCTGGTTCTTCCTGTAGCCGGAGTTTACCGACAAGAATCGCACTGACGTCAAACACCAAGCAAAACGCACATATTATGCACACTATGGAAGAGAACATGTCTTCACGATTGAAACAGCAGCATTAAAAATTTCAGGCTTGAAAGTCCAGACATGAAAGATGCTATTTGTGAGGGCGGGGGTGCATACAAAAATTCAGGGTGTTACATCGTTATGTCAAGGAGAGGTTCTTTAAGGGGAGGAAATGTTTTGTTCCAGTAATTGCGATGTCGGTCACGTGATTCAAGAAGTTGTTCTGACCCTGAACAGTGCTTATAGTGGACCTTGTTTTCTGATATTATCTAAGCATGCTGTATTCTTAATGAAGTTTTTTTCTTATAAATTTACTTTCAGTTTTAAAATTTATTCGTGATGTTATGTTTTGAACGCAGACATGTTCAAAAGTCAGAATATTGTTGAAAGTGAAAGTTCACTAATATGTCTGAAGCATTTTCAGATCAGTTCAAGGTTAAACCATAATTTTAGAACCTTTGCTCCATAATACCGTAAAAATTTGTTGCACCCTTAATAAAATATTAATTTAAATATTTTATTTAAACCATAGTATCGTGTAATCAAATTCAAGAATCAAATTAATTTGCGCGCTAATATGGTCCGTTATAGCGTCATATTTATGTTGTAGCAAATTTGAAAATTCTAAATATCCTGCCCAGAAGATCGGAGGCAAATAAATAAATAAATCGCTGACTTTAATTCTGAATACAAAAAAGCATTTATTATGATTATTATTTTTTAAATCAGTTAAGTAAAGATGATAAAAGGCTTTAAATTTTGTTATTTATTTAAAAGCTATAGAGGAAATTTGTTTCCCTGTAACTGTTCGAATTTACTATATTTCAAAAATACTCGTTTTTAATTTCGACGTAGTGCATGTATTATAAATTATCAAAATTTTATTATCATAAATTATCTTTATTATTATAAATTATCAAAATTTTATTATCATGAATTATCTTTATTATTATAAATTATCAAAATAGAAGAAAATTAAAGAAGGAAGTGTCGAATAAGGCACCTTTCCTCTTTAACTTTATCGAAGTGTGAACTAGTATAATTACATAAAAATATGCTACTCGAAAAAAAAAAAACTTGGTTGAAGCTTTCGATTGTTCTTTTTTGTTGCCTCGTATATGCACTATTAAAAATTTGGAGCATGGCAAACCATAACATCGTTCACATTCCCTGAAACCTTATTAAGTCCCACATTATTGTACTTCTTGACCATCTGAGACCCAGCTTCCAATGTATTGGCCGATATTTGGCACACATTTTTCTCTCTGTATTAAAAAATCGTAAGGGCCGTCGACACAGTTGTGTGACGTTACATTTTGTTACATTTGTTTGATACTGAACGTTACATTTTGTTTTTCTAAGTAAAAACTATAGACTTGAACCTTGATTTCACAAGTGTATGCAGAAAAATGTACAGAGAGTACTATGGGATGAAGAGAATTAACATTCGATAGTTAGTTCAAGAATTATTACCTGTTAAACTAGATTTATTACCTGTTAAAAAATACCATAAGGTTGCTCGACAGGCCGCAGGAATTGAACTATAGAGTTGAAATTCGGTATGCTAAAAGGGCCATATTTGTTTACGAACTTACGACGGAGGTTTTTTTTTTTTTTTTTTTTTTTTTTTTTTTTTTTTTTTTNTTTTTTTTTTTTTTTGTTCTGTTTTTCGAAATTCCAATGTGTTTGAAAGTTACTGCCCTTTTAAGTGCTTTTTTCGCTTATTTTTTCTCACTTTCTATTGTTTTACGTTACATTTTGCTTTGCTACACGAACTCTGTAAGAATTAGATGTTAGAAATTACGCAGGTATGTATGAAGAGTTTGATGAGAATTTTACATTTCATTATTAGTTCAAGAAAAAATCAACTTTTAAACTTCAAGTAAAAATTACCATGGTTTATCTGTAGCCCACTGAAATGCAACTACGGAGAAATGTAACGCACTGAAAGAGCAGTTTTGAATGCAATTTTTTTTTCTCGAAACTCCTATTTTTTCAAAAGTTACTGTAATATTGAATAATCGTTTACCGATTTATTTTCACCTTTTTTTTTTTTTTTTTTTTTNGTTTTTTTTTTTTTTTTTGCTTTAAAAATGATTATTTATTCATCGTCGCAGACATTTTTCTTTCTCTCAAAATTTTTCTTTTATAAACTGGATCTTGATTGGATGTTAAAAGTAACAACAGAAAAAAAAATTAAGAAAAGAAAACAAGAGGAGATTAGATGTTGCCAGATATAAATTTTAACAATTTATATCGGAATTTTTAACAAAGTCTGAAAAGAGATGAAAACAGTTTTCCAATTTGAACTTTAATATGATACAAGATTCTGTTATATATTGTTAATAAGCAAAACTACCTCTTATTGAGTCCTATATTCATATTTTTTTTCAATTGAAGTTTATTATTGAATCCTGTTAATCGTTCATTCGTTGTGATAAACATATCAACAAAATTGTCTTGCATGAAATTATGACATTTATACTTTTTATAAGCAAAATAATCTGTTTTTTTTTCTTTCTAAAATATATATTTTTTTCTTTAAATAAAGGTGAAAAAGAAGCAACCACGAGGTTTGGCGAACGGAGTTAACAGGAAGGGGGAGCCTCCTAATAGCATTTTAAAAAAGATTTTTTTTTGTTCTGCATATGTTCCTCCTTTACAAAGAAATATTCTCTTTAAAATTATAACTGGAATCACTCTCGTTGATCTGAGTTCGTAACTACAAAAAACGTAAGAATTTTGATTCAAGTAAACTTTTAGAAAGTCTTATAGCATATAAGAAAATATCTTATAATTTAGGTTTAGTGGATATTGTTTCAAAGTCAAAATGAGAAAAAATACCTACAATAAGCAACAAAAAAAAGAGAAAAAAAGCTTATCAATTAAAATTTATCATAAGTAAATTAAGTTGAATCATTCAATTTTATTTTATGAAATAAATTTTTTCGCATTTATGAGTTTACTTTTCTTTCTTCAAACTACAGATTTTTGTTGTTGTAAAAATTGAGATTCATACCATTATTTAAGGCTCAGGCCTCAGGAGGTTAAACACGGTTCCGTTTAGTTTTTTTCCACTCGAATTGGAACCGGTTCAACTTTAATAAGGTAGCCGTTAATTTGCATTTCATTATGGTTAAATGTACCAATATTACGAATCAACGTTGAATTAATTTTTCTGAGAGTGTAGACCACCAGTCTCTTGAAAAAATAAAATCAGTTTCATGTCGCGAACTGGTGCGAATTTCGATGAAATGTCAAATATTCATTCTAAATCCTTTTTTTTTCCTTCTTAAAATTCTTTTGAATTTTTTTCTTCATTTTTTTTTCTATCACGTTTCTATCACACTCTCTGGCTTCTGACATAGTATTTTTTTATTATTATTATTATTTTCGATTTTTTATTATTATTATTATCATTCATACTATAAACGAAGTTCGAATAATATACCATTCTTAAGAATATTATGAAGGATCGGTTGAAAATGCATTTCTGCAAACAATATGCTATTTTCCCAGCTGCTGTGAGTTTGTAAAAGTTATTTAAGACTTATAGGTCAAATTTAGGCTAACGATAGCCAGTGTTTTTTATGCTAATTCTGAAAATGCCGCAACACATCAATATTATAAGAAGAACTACAATTTTGGGAAAATTAAACGCTTATAATCTTATTAATATATTTTTTAAATAATTAAAATGATAATTCATACATATGAGCCGAGATGGCTCAAGCGATTGAGCGTTCGCCTTCCATTGAGGTGATTCGGGTTCGAATCCCAGAGATGGCTGGCGATACGAATTCCGAACAGGCTTGCACTGACCACAGTGCTGACGTAAAATATCCTCAGGGGTAGACGGATCATTTGTTGGAGTCTCCTTGCAGTCAGGCTATCAGTGGGAGATTTTCACGGTTTTCCTCCCCATGTAACGCAAATGCTGGTTAGTTCGACCAAAAAGTCAACATGAAGGCAAATTTCTCCCAAAACTTGATTCAGGAGGTCCCTTGTCTTCTGAATCGGGTTCAAAATTACAAGGTTACGGAGTTGAGCATTAGTATTACGTGAACCCAAAAAATTAAGTTGGGTGTTCAGCGACGGTTTTAAAATTCATTCATAAATTATCTGAGCTCATAAATATTTGCAAAAATTAAAAATGGGTAAGTTTTGGGACTGGGAGTTTTTGGAGCTTGCTTCAAGATGTTCTATGACAAATAAGTTCAAAGATGACAAATAAGTTTGATCAGTTTTTGTTAGAAAAGAATGGAATTAAAAGCAAACGATTTTGCGCTGAATTAAAATATTTTGAAGAATAACTTCTCATTTTAATACAAAATACTTTTAAACGTTACACCGATAATATTTTTTACTGTAACTTTTTTCGCTTAAAGAAAAACATACATTAAATTCATTTAAATAAAAACAAATATAGATGTATAAGTTCAGAGTATGATTGATACATTTAAGTCAGAACGATCAAACTAGATTCAGTAAGAACGTTCCCTAAATTTTAAATGGTATTTTATTATTTTTTAAGCTTATATATTTTTTGTAGTTTGTTTTCGGATAAGAATTATTTAAATTATTAATAAATTATTATAAGATAAAAAATAATGACGTCACATGAAAACTATGAACTAGATCGTCCGAAGAGCTGGAGTCTACAGAAAAGGGATATGGCGACCGGGCCCCCTATTTTAGTAGACAAGACCATCGCATATGTATTAGTCAATCATACATTCTAGCGGGAATCTTTCTCATTCAAATTTACTTTTGTTTATTTCTCTTGTTCTTTTGAATGTATTACTTACAAGATTTTGAATAGAATTTATTCTCCTTCAAATTGTTCTCAGTCAGAGAAAAAAAGAAATTGCGATATCATATACCTTTTCTTAGATATCGCTATTTCCTAATCTTATTAATTGCGTCTTTCATTTACATTAAACATTCCTTTGAAATCTCCACAAACGCTTGAGTTCACACAAAAAAAAGTGGGAAATAACATTGCTGTCTGTGGTGTGTGTTTGAAGCTTTTCATATTAAAGTTTTAATCTGGGAAAACACCAGTTCAACGAATGTTAACGAAGCATATCCTCGTTTACTTAATGAGCTGTTTGTGTTTCTGTCAAAAAGATAGATTTAACTTTGGTTGAAAAGGATATAATTTGTATTATAATGCAACATACGCAAATTAGTTTCAGAAGGGTGGAAAGCTTTAAGTCCGTGTCGAATGAAAGAAATTAAAACAATTAGAAAAATACTTGTATGTATTATATTTGGAGAAAAAAAATTAGGTATGAAAAAATTATTAAATAATTTATTAGTTTATCACTTTTATTTGAAATGAAATTTAATAATGGGTATTTCCATGCGTAATTCACCTTGGGAAAAAGAAAAATTTTAATCTTAAAGTGAAACCTGGAAATTTCACAAATGAGTCATTTTGCGTGTGACTCAATCTATTAAAAAGCGTAATTTTAATCTTAAAATTAAATGGAAATTTAACATGACAATTATTCCATACATGACTAACATTATAGAAAAACAAAATTTTCCTCTTAAAATAACATTTTTTTAACAGCAGGCACTGAACTTTCGTTCATTTGCCTTGGAAGATGCCGAAAGTGGCACATGTGAACCTTAGTCACCGAAGTGAGCAACATTACCCACGCCACACTGCCATAGATACCTGTTCAGAGGGTGAACCACATTCACACATCAAACACGACAGAGGACATAGAGAGAAATATCTACACACCGAGCGAGCCCGCACCACTTGCTCATGGCTTCACAGTCAGGTGCGCTAACCGTTCGGCCACCTGGTCGGTCTAAAAATGACATGAAGACATGCGTAAAGTAAAATGTAACACACTGCAAACTTATTTAGTTTTCAGACTATATCACTTTGTTGCTGCATTAGTTGTTATTTTTAAAACATTTGTTGGTTGTCTCAATTAGCAACACCATCTGTGAAAGAACTTGGTTATTAACTCTGAAACTTAGTGAAAATAAAATTTCTTTTCCTAAGCAGAATACAGAAAACCGTAAATTTCTTTTTCTTTTAAATTTGATTTTTTCTAATCGTCGATTATTTTAAGTGACATCAAATTTAATTTGCACTCATAGCAAAGCTAAACTTAGTTTTTATACATACTGCGCATTCTATGTGGGCCTAGTAAAACATTTTGTGATTCAAATTAACGTAAATAATCTGTAAAAAGATAAAATATATCTACTTTGAATTGAATCACAATATCAATCATTAAGTCGAATCACTATTATTGTTTTAATTTGCTACAAATCAAACATTAGCAATAAAATAAATGTTGCTTTAACATTTATTTTATTCTTCGGGTGCATTCGGGCTTCGGGTTCATTTATTTTATTCTTGGGGGTTTTTTTCTTCGAATTTTCGACCCAAAAAAAGCATTTTTGTTATTGCTGAAAAGTAATATATGTTCTATCCTAAATTCGGAAATCCCGCAGTGGACTGATCGTTAAGACACGGTTCCCAGCCGATCACCGAAGTCAAGCATCACTGACTGCGGTCAGTGTGCGGGTGGGTGACCACTTGGATCAGTCTGCGTAGGGACCGAGGGTGTGCGGTATTGGTCCTCGTTAAACTGTTCTACCGTAAAGTGCTCGACTTCGCGTGCTGGTCGTCGGGCTACCGAAGCGGGAGTGCCATCCTCTCTGCTGAGGATCAAAATTGTGATGGCATGTCTTCGGATCATCCTCAGGGATGTTTCCCAGACCGTCGCCAATAGCCCATTGTGCAGCTCTAGTGCGACGTTAATGAACAAATCAATCAATCAATCAAATTCGGAAATACAATATATTTTTATCAGCAAGCATTTTTTGCTTGACCTATTGTTGGTGTCCCGTCCACTGATCTCCAGTTTTCCTTGCAATGTACCCGAGTTTTATTTTTAAAAAATACACTCTGGTAACATGTTTATTAACTTTATGGCATTTAGGTTGTTTGACATAAATATCTGCATAAAATAATTCTTAAAATTTCGTAAAAAATATTTTGGAAAATAATTTTCGAACCTTACCGTTAAAATAGCTATACACAATTAATCTTGGACATCTGAGCGTAAAAATCACATTTATCACAAAACTGAAATAATCTAATACAGANGGTTGTGTTATTCCTACTAAATTTAACCCATGAACGGCATTTTCTGCGAGCCTAACTTCAAGCCACAAATAAACAAACGAAGTGTTTGATCGTTTAAATAGCTGCTCGCCAGATTTTATTGCATTATAAAGAAAAGTAATTGATATTCGATTTTTGATTAACAATTGATTTATGTGGATAGTGGCATAGAATTTAGCATTGCGTCATGGTAAATGTTATTCCTACTAAGTGGAAGTAGTTGTGTTTTTTTTATATTATACCCAATTATGCAATTTTTCTCTTCGTTCCATTGAATGTGACGCCGACCATACGGGCACTAAAACGCCGCACGCATGAGATGCAATGCCGACAGAGAAGGGTTTAAATTACTCAAAACTTGTAAAAACATCAATTTTTTAAAAAAAATTTAAACTGTTTAAAAATATATTTATTTTCTTTGTTACTTTATAAAACTTTGTTTTGAAAACATTTTCGAATGAAAATTATTACCTTTTAGTGCTGAGATTTATCACGATCAAACAATGTTACGTAATTGCATGCATAAATTTCTAGTTTTTATTGTTTTTCTATCAATAGAGTCTATAAATCAGACAATATTCTCATGGTGTTTTAGTAATATCAGCTCTCATTATGAATGAAATTTACCAATATTAAACAATGCTAAGTAACTGCATATACAAGTTTTTAATTTTTATTGTGTTTTAATCATTGGAATCTGTAACTCAGATAATATACACTTCATGCTCTGTAATAAAACTAAACTCAGTGGCGCGACAGCCCATGGAGGGCCAAGGCCTACTGTGCCCATCTCAGTTTTCTTAACCTTGGGTTCTGGGATGCAGGAGCAGATGTTCCGGTTAGGTGGTCAGCCTAACGCGGAACCCCCAGTGTTTAGTTCCCAAGCAAGCTTGGTACTCATTTATCGACCCACTGAAGGGATGAAAGGCTGAGTCAACCTTGCCCGGCCCGAGGATCGTGTTCTGTAATATCACCTCTTATTATATTTTCAGAATCCTTTTTAAAAACATGGTTTAAAAAGTGCCCAGGGGAAGGATAACAAATAAACGTATAACAAAAAAAAAATAATAAAAAAAAGAACGCTATCACGCTTAAATTTATTTAATATTGACAACAAGTAATAACTTAATTCAATTAATAATTCAATTAATAACTTAATTAACAAGTAACTACAATTCAAAATCTGGTTGACCATTGGTGGAAACAGAGAGGCGTTGAAAAACAATAACAGTAAAAGATATCTGTTGAAAAACAATAACGACAATTCGCATTAGAAGGTTGTATTTTTGTCACTGCGTGATAAAGGTGCACTTTATTTAAGTCTGCTGCGGGATTAAGAAAATAACTGAAGAATTTTTCTTTTGTAAGAAAGAAGGTAACTTGGTCGGTGGTCACCCACATATGTTTGCTTTCGCTTTATAAAAATAAAGGATTAAGGCGATAAATATTGTAGGAAGTATATGTTCGTAGGATATTAGCTTTTATCCTTTCTGAATTGATCACCAAAATAATTCAGATAATAATAAAAATATCATAAATTTTCGTACAATATTGTTTACTGAAAAGTTTAAAAAAAATGAGCTTCCCTTAAATATCAGAGAGCTAGTAAATATTTACTCATTATAAACATTTAATTCCATTTACAGTTACTAATTATTAGCATTTTGATGGTGACTTGAAAATTAGTCGTTATGACGAATTTCTCGAAAAATGTCGCTCTCGTTATATTAAGAATTAGAATGAGTTGTGCTGCCATCTATCTGTGGAGTTATGAGTAAAGACATACTTTCATCCTTCCGGTGCTCTCTTGTCCGATGAAAAGTGCACTTTTCCGACTTAATTCGTAAAAGGTCAATGGTTGGTGCCGTTAGAACAAACAAAAACAGAATTGAAAACATCAAGTTTCAACTAACAATCAAATAGATTTTGATTTTTTTTTCTCCCACCTTCCTCAATAGCGTTCCCATTTTTTCTCGCTTAAATATTAATCTACGACCCTTCATGTGTAAAATTTTTTTTTAATTTCATTCTTTGTTTCTATATTATATAGATTAAAGGCAATGATTATTGAATACCGTGTTCACAGAATATAATTACAAAAAATTTATCAGTGGAATAATAATTAAAAAAATTCTTCTTCGATTAGTTTTCATAAATATATACATACCACATAAATTTTAACCATCGTATTAATTTGTTTCACTTTTCATAACATTCAAAAAAATATCTATGAAACATTCTTGAAATAATGAAAAATAATAAAACACATTAAATTATTGTTAATACAAACAAGCTTTATTAGTCTTTAATAAATAAATAAATAAAACAAGGAAATTAAAAAGATATTTTAAAACTTCCAGGTTTACATACATCACATTAAGTGCGTTCATAAAAAAAAAATTTCTTCTCTTCATATCTTTTGTGAAAGATTGTTGAAAGTTCTGCGCTTTTCGATTTACAGTTCACTACCTTCAGAGAAATAGGAAAATATCCTGAGCCTTTTCAACTATTAGTACTACTTCATTCTCTGCTTGTTATTGTGATCGTGGAAATTGAATTTCATCTTTCTTATTACATGTGCCTGTAATAAAATAAAAATACATGTGTTTAGCAAGGAATGGTGGTTGTAATTCTAAATTTTTTTTTTTTTTTTACATTTTTCTCTCTAGAGATCCTCATATAAAATAAAAGTAGTGCATATGAATTTTTCTTCTAGGTCCATTTCTCATGCTGAATGATATAAATTATTAATATTTCAACACAGTACGTTAATAAGTTACAAAAGAAACAACAACAAAAAAATAAAATTCAGTTTTGGAACTTACTACACTAGTGAGTATAGCTGTAACATAGCTCAGAGTAATAGAATTTTCGCAACTATAAATTACAGTGTTTGGAGACAGCAGTTTAAAGTCTCTTTCTTGTAACATTAACTCGGTAAATGTTTAATAAAAACAAAGGAAAGGGTTAGAAAATGAAAGAGAAAAAAATAAAATACAGTATTCATTTCTTATATTACCTGTGTCACATAATCAGCATGATTAAAACATAAGCATGGAATAGTTTGTTTCGCTAAACTGACCGTTTTTAACCTTCATTTCTGGACTGCTTATAGCTCAGTTTGCTTCAGCGTTTGATTGCCAACGGGAGAAAAGAAATTTTATCAGTTATGTGACAATATATGCGTTAGTGTTTTTATAATGTCGATAGAAATATTCTATAAATTAAACCAATATAACTTCTGAACTATTCATTTTATAGACTTAAGTTCAGTCTAATTAAAACATTTGATTGAAAACAATTCATGGAAAAACATAACTTCTTTGCCTTCATAGTATTGTCTGATATGTAAGTAGAAACCAAAGATAGTACTTTTTATGCATAAAAGCTTTATAACAGTTCATCTGATGGTCCCAAGCTTAGATTCATTCAAATCAGCATAAAAAATTAAATTTAGATAAGCTGAAATATTACGCTACACAGGATCTAAAAAAATCCCATATTCTACTTACATTCCTCCAGCCTTTCTTCAAGAATAGCTATTTGTTCGCTGAGAGAATTTATTCTGTCTTCTCGTTGATGGATCGAATCATCCGTCTTCTTGGTGGAAAAATTTCTTCGCCATTCTTCCAGGTCCTCTATTCTCTGAAATGGCGGAAGATACATAAATTTTATGTCCTTTTGAGTAAAATTTAGGGAAAATCTCGATTTAGGGGTGTCTCGATTTAGGGAATAAGCGAAAACTTAGTAATTGTAATTGGTTTATTAAATAGGTAGCGCGATTCCCACATAGAGCAAAGGGAAAAAATTTCTTACTTTTAACTAATGCATACTTGAGCCAAAAATAGATTAAAGAACAGGCAGCACGACTGGATGGGAATTTAAAAGTGTGAAAAAGCGTTTCATTTTGAATAATAAATTAAGAAAAGGATTTACAGAAAAGGAATAACATAAAAAGATTAATTGAAGCTTTTTATGTTACATCCCCCCTCCCCGAAAAATGTTTAATGACCATCTCAAGTTTTTTTTAAAAAGATCATCTATTTGCAAAACTTTCCCTGTGATAGAAGCGCAATCAAAATGAAAAGAATAACAATCGTAATCTCACATTACAATCAATATATAAAAATAGCATGAATTACAAATAGTTTCTCTGACTCTTTGTCAGTTCAGTTTCAAGTTCTTCGTTTGAAGATCTCACTAAAGTTATTCACCACGAAGTAATCTTCTTCATAAAAGCACAATTCCAATAAACTCTTATATCAAGATGAGAAAATTACATAAACATTTTCAAAATGCATATACTCGAAAACATGAAAGATGAAAATATGAAAATACAAGTGATATGAGATATGAAAAGACAAGTTGACACTTTTTGTTAAAGAAAAAGTTTCAATCTGAAGTTTTGACTACAGTATTGTTTATTTTGTTAGAAAATAAAATTTTTTAAAAAAATGACACAGTGGTGGGTATTCTGAAGTTTAAGACTTCAGTATTTTATTCTTATGAAAAAATGACACTGGTAAGTTTGATGTTAATCTTACCTTTTGAGGTTCAATTCTTATTATCCCTATATCATATTTATCTTTAGCAAAAATATCTGAAAAATCTGAAATTGGGATTTTTTTTCATTATCTTGAATTTGCATAATTCCGTCAATATGATTTTGACAATGTTGCGCACCATTATCACATTTAGTCTCAAGAATATTTGAAAAGTCAAGCTTATTTTCAGTTTTGCTATTTAAATCTTTATTTTTAAGTCTATTTTTTGTTTTATTTTTCTTTAAATTCACTTTGTTTACATTTTTATTTTTGTTTACTCTTTTTATGTCCAGAATTTTATTTTCTTTAACATTTTAATTATTTTGTTTTTCTTTTATTTTTATTTTCTTTCTCTTATTTTTCTTTTCTTTCTTTTCTTTTTCTTTTCTTTCTACTTTCTTTATAGGTATTTTTATTGCAAACATTAACCAGGATTTCAGGAAAAAATGTGTAAGGTCAAATTGCTTTTATAATCATAAAAAGAAATCAATCTTCTCAGATTTTGCATTGCAACTTGTTTAACACAGTTACTAATTGAAATCTAAAGCAAGCTTTCGAATTTAATATGGTATTAAGGTAAATCAGTTTTCAAAATTTGGCTGACCTAGCTATTTTCCTTATTTTTATTCTGAAGTGCAAGTTTGGTTAACTTACAAATTACATTTTGTTTGTTTTCATTTATATCTTTTTTTTTTAACTTTCGGACATATAATTTTTCGAAAATATTTGTTGGGATTATATTTGAAGTACTACTTGTGTCATTATTTAACAAGATAGCTTTATTAGTAACAATCGGGTATGTGTTACTTTTATTGTTTTCATTTTTATTTCGAATGCATTTTGAGTGTATCCGGATACTATTCATTGTCAATTTGTGTTTGGTCACTTTCTTGTTTAGGCTGAGTTTGATTCCCAGCCATAAAAGAATTAGGTTTTTTTTTATACAATCTTGGCCCCAATGATAAGCATTAGTTATCCAAGCTTATCACAGTATTAACATGGCTTAGGAAGCAACTCCTGGGATGCCAGGGTGAAATTTCAAATACCACCTGGGTCAAATATTCAAAATATTAATTAGCATATGCAAAGTTAGCCCTTTGCATTTTAGTACTTGATTATACAATCATTGGATAAAAGGCTGGGCAGATGTTTTGTGTTTTATTTTGCACTCTGAAAATATCTAAAGTAAAAATTAAAGTAAATAAAAGTCTTATAAAATAAAATACGTACTTTCTGCATGGCTTCCATTTTTTCCAAAAGGGCTTCAGTGTAATCCATGGTAACTTTGGAATTGTTTGGTGTTGCAATAATTTCTGAAAATGATGTTCTGAATGAATACAAATTAATGGAACGTTACATACAAAAAGAAATTGAACTGAAACTTAAAATTTTAAATTTTCGAAGCTAATGTTTAATTTTTCATAAAGTGTCATGAATCAATAACATAAGTCCCGTCTAAAGTACGTTGTATGCAAAAAATACAAATGCAGATATCAATAATAAAATATATTACATAATCCCATAACAATAAATACTCATTTTAAGAGAAGTTGTTGCTTACTTTTGCAAGATTTTCCATCCGATTGTAATGAAAATCCATCTTTGCATATGCATTTATATGATCCTGGTTTGTTGATGCAATCCTGTTCACAAAGATTCAAATCTTCTGTTGAACATTCGTCAATGTCTGAAAATAAAAAAAAAAGAGATTTAATCTCGAATTTTTTTTTTTAATTTTTGAATAGTTTTGATTGAATGGTTTTAATAAAAAATATTTTGATCACATGAATGGTTGTGTATTTTTAACCGTAATATGTTATTCACTCCAATTTTTAATGTTGAATTATACACAAATAAAGTAATAGTAGAAACAGAGCCCGATTTATCAGAAGGCCTGAGAGGCCCACGCCTAAGGACCCCACACTTCTGGGATCACCCTAAATGTCACAAATATTATTTTTCGTTTTTCTTTTGTGTGTTTTTATTTTTTATTTATTCTTTTATGAATTATTTATTAGAATTATGATTTAAAAATTCAAATAAATATAAGCTCAAATTTACTAATACATCGCAATTTACTTGTGCAGTGAGTAATTTAAAAGCAGTTTAACTAAACAACATGTAAGTTTAGTTTCATGTAACTACCAGGGAGCCCTTGACAGTTCTGCGTCTAGGTCCCCCACATTTCTAGATCAGGTCCGATTTATCAGAAGGCTTCTATAAAATCGCTTCTAAAATTAGCCCCCCTAAAAATGGAAATAATACAAAAAGAAAGGAAAAAAATACTTCTACGCAAAATGATAACACAAACTTGTAGGGATGAATTATGAAACAGAAACATACTTAATATTGCATCATTAAATTCTGAGTTAACAAGCTTTTGAATGCGCAAACCGGGTCCCCAACCACGAAATGTTTAGATTAAGGGCCTCAGTGGAGAAGCCATATTATAGTAGTAGGGGGGAGTGGGGTCAATTGTAACATTTTTTACTTAACTAGTTTTAACTAACAAAAAATCCAATATATTATTAGTATTAATTGACAGACGAGTAAAGTAGACTATCCTCTACTAGAAAAAAAATAAATATCTGATTTTAAATATTATTATATTAGTTATTAACAATTTTTGACAGTCGTGCAGTTGTTACAATTGTCCCCACTTACGGGGTCAATTGTAACAGTTCATAAATTCAACTAAAACATAGTTAATTATACATATTATCATAGTTGTGATATATTTTTTTATTGATCAAAATAGTAGTGATATTTTAGGAGTAAAAATAATAATGAGCAGAGACCTAAAGGGTTAAACTTTTAACTTTAAGGGGTTAAAAATTTTAATTTATGCTGTGAAAGGTGACAAATAAAATAATGCACATGCAACATAATATAAATGATATAGGAAACTATTGGTGGTTCTTAAAGAGTTAAGTAATGGTTTGTAAACATAAGATTATTTATTTTCAGCTGTTACAATCGTCCCTTTACTTATTGTTACAATTGTCCCCAAGACGCCATTTCAGCTTCATTTGTTAAAAACAATGCTAGTTAATTAGCAAAACTAATCTTTTTTTTATTGAAATGTTAATTAAGGTGTCCACTTACATATTCGGTTACTAATTTTTATTTGTTTAAACAAAATTACTTTGTTACAATATAATATTCTAATACCAAAAAAAGTACTTGCGTGGCGTGAAAATATCTTTTGTGATGTAACTCTTTCAAAAGTACATAAAAATGGTTGCCATCAGGGGTGTACATGTAGATTTATTAAATACACCTTGTGCGCCACCTAGGAACCAAATCTAGAACCCGACACTCGAAATTTTTGCTCTGTTACAATCGTACCCTGTTACAATTGACCCCACTCTCCCCTACTCTACTGCAGAAGAATTATGAGCCGCTAGCACTGATTTTCGTGCTATACCAATTTATAGGAAAGGTACTCACGTCACGTATGAGATCTAACCAATTCTGAAAATACAAATAATACCTACAATCAACCAATTTTTAAAAATTCACATTATTAGGACAATCGTAAGATGTCCTAATAATGTGAAAATTCAGGATTCATGGAGCATATAATCGAAAAAACTATTACAGTATTCTTAAAAAGGGGATATGCTACTATTTGTGTAAATATAGATTAAACAAGAAGATGTGTTATAAAATTATGCGTTTTACATGCGTTATTCTTGACAAACTGAATGAAAATATGAGAAATCGACTACTTTTTTTTAAAAAAGTTTAACAGCATGCATACTCGAATTTATTTAGCGTATTTTAATGATTTGAATCACATAACAGCAGTATCCATACCGGATATTCGAAAAATGAGCTTTGATAGGAAAATCAATGTTCGAAAAAATTAAGACAAAAATGAGAAACGCACGGTTTTCCATGTATTATTTAAAGGAAACAAGATTTATATTCAACAACCTTCGAAAGTAGTAAAGAAATGCATCAACAGATGGCGTTGCTGAGAAGAAAAACTACGAATGCTTCAAAATAATTATCGCTGGCAAAGAAATTGTGTTTATGTCAGAGAACAACATTGCCAGACATTGTTTCAGTTAGAATGGTCTGATACGTAGCAGAAAGCATGGATTAGAAGTTTTTAAGCTGTGTCATCTGTTGTCAAACTACTAATTCCAAAACTCTTTGAGAAAAAATTTTCTTGTTTCCTGAGCAGAACGCAGCAAATCATATGTTTCTATATCGTTCAATTTCTTTTAATTGCTTTCTAAAACTATCTGTCATTTTCGGAGTAGCCGATACTATATGTTTAAATACAGAAAGAATTAAATGATTTATGTCTTTCAAACCTTTGGATAATAATTCATAACTTTTTGAAGTTCTGAAAATATTGAAAAATTCCATAAAGAGAAAACGCAACTTTGTCAATGAGAACTACATATGGGTTTTATAAATTCATAATCTTATAACTCGGTAAGGAAAACTCCGATTTAAACACAATTTGTTGCATATTACTTAATTAAATGCAAATTTTTTAAATATTACAAAAACCAAATAATGGATTTTTGAAGAATTTTTAAGACAAATATACTACAAAAACAAATATACTACTGAGTAATGTAAATGTAGAGTTTATCTTTCAGTATTTTTAAAAGGGATACAGTTATAGGTGACTCAAAAATAACTGATGCGCTGTCATCTAATTATACTGTTCGTTTTTTCTTCTTTTCTTTTTCTCTAGATGAAACTATGTAATTCCATGAACTATGTAATTCTATGCTGCTTGATTCATTTATCAATATCAAAATAGTCAACCGTGCATAGTTTTTGTAGGAGAAAATTCGTCAAGCTTCTAGCAGATTTTCATTTCCCAATACATGCCTCAAAACTTGGATAAGGCAAACGGCGTTTTGTCCTCAGAAATTGTTGTTGTTGTAGCAGTTCATTTACGTCGCACTAGAGCTGCACAATGGTCTATTGGCGACGGTCTGGGATGCATCCATGAGGATGATCCGAAGATATGCAATCATAATTTTGATCTTCTGCAGAGGGGATGGCACCCCTGATTCGGTAGCCCAACGACCTGCACACGAAGTCGAGCCCTTTACGATGGAACAGTTTAACGAGGACCAATACCGCACACCCTCGGTCCCTACGCAGACTGATCCAAGTGGTCACCCACCCGTACACTGACCGCAGCCAGTGATGCTTGACTTCNTCGCTTAAAAAGATTAAGTTTTTGATTGATTTTTAAATGTAATTCTATTAATAAAAAATCAGCTTAAGTAATGAAAGATATTTTAAAAGATAGAAAATAAATATTCAATATTGGGTTTAAAAGAATACCTTGGCGATCACGAGTCGCCAACAAATTTATGTGAATTAATATAACCATGAAACCGAAACATTTAGCCGTTGGAAAATTAGAATAAAAAGTTATAAATAGATTTTTGTTTTCGATTAGAGGCGACAGTGAATTTATATGTCTGCATAATAATGAAATAAAAAGAAAGTATCCGTTACATTGATCTGGAAGAGAAGAAATAAATATTTTATGTTCGCTTAAAAAGATTAAGTTTTTGATTGATTTTTAAATGTAATTCTATTAATAAAAAATCAGCTTAAGTAATGAAAGATATTTTAAAAGATAGAAAATAAATATTCAATATTGGGTTTAAAAGAATACCTTGGCGATCACGAGTCGCCAACAAATTTATGTGAATTAATATAACCATGAAACCGAAACATTTAGCCGTTGGAAAATTAGAATAAAAAGTTATAAATAGATTTTTGTTTTCGATTAGAGGCGACAGTGAATTTATATGTCTGCATAATAATGAAATAAAAAGAAAGTATCCGTTACATTGATCTGGAAGAGAAGAAATAAATATTTTATGTTCGTTTAAAAAGATTAAGTTTTTGATTTATTTTAAAAATAATTCTATTAATAAAAATAAGCTTAAGTAATGAAGGATATTTTAAAAAGATAGGAAATAAATATGTAATGCCAAATTCTGGCATCACAATTCCATTTGTAACAACAACAAAATGCAGTCGACAGATAAAATTAACAGACAACCACCAGTTCGAATGATTTGGCTTGCATGCGACAATTGTTTGTAAAATTTCCGGGTCAGCAGCACTATCTATCGACGTAGCAAGCAACTAATTTCAAAATTTGGCGAGATTAAAACTCTTATTTCCTGAGCAGAACGTAACAAACCATACAATACCTAACGTTTTTTTATTTATTTTTTTATTGTTGCTCATGCTTGTGAGAACCGTATTAGCTTTAATGTATTTTAATGAAGTAGATTAAATAAAGGGTTCATATTAGAGAAAATTTGATAGATAATTAAAAAAAACTCAACTTAATATCCCGTAATAAGTATCCCGTAGATAAATATCCCGTATACATTTTGCATTAGATAAATATTTTATACAAACGTAAAATGGAGAAAAAAATTCCTGTCGTAATATCTGATAAATCTCAAAATATTTTATAAAACTATTTCTTCTTTCACTAAATAAATAAATAAAATAAATAAATAAATAAAATACCTGATTCGCAACTTTTTCCTGTCCAGCCAGGTACACAAGTGCAATGATCTGGTTTAGTACAGATACCGCCATTTTTGCATTCATATTCACAAACAGCTGAATGAAAAGAAATCTATAATCCATACATACACTTTCAATTGAAACATTGATACATTAAATATTGATGCATTAAATAAGCATTGCATAACCGGTGCATTAAATAAGCCGGGTAGCAGAATTGGCGGAGTTGCAGCAGCATCGTCGTGAATTCTAATTTGTCTGCGAGTTCTATGTAGTCAGACAGAGATTACCATTTTAAAAATTTAACTTATAAATTATATTATTATATTTATAAGTTAAATTTTTAACTTATAAATTATATTATAATATATTATTTAACTTAACTAGCAAAATTTGCCAATATAAGGTCCTTAAAAATTATGCGAAAAAATTTTATATTCTGTAACCCTTCCTTCTCGCTCCCGTGAAAATGACGGGGTGAGGTTTCGCCCTCTATTTCTAGCTCCCGTGAAATTTCTGGGCTGGAGTGTTCAGTAGCAACGCGCTAGTAAGAATAAAACTAATTCATTTCTTTTGCCCGGAAAAAATTTTATTTATCATTTTACACACCAGATGGCAGTACTAGGATATTTTTAAGGTAATTGTAGAAAAGAGATGAAAACAATAAGAGATGTAGGAAGGAAACTCGGTACTATTGTCCAGATTGAGACGTTGGCCTCTGTATCTCATGCATTGAAATTTATCACACTAGAAAAAATTACTAATATTTATTTATAATGTACCTAAGTTTAATAAAATTCTTTTTTAATGTTTAAAACACATATTTTTTAAATTTTCCTTGATTGCTTGAAAACCAACATTAAGTCATAGTAACCCTGAATGTTGGCCTTTTCTATAAATTTAACTTTTTAAAATTTCAAACTAAAAACAAATTAAAAATTAATGTATATTGTTCATACACATATTTTTAAATAATTTTCAGGGATAAAAAAATAGGCCCTTTTATGACCGTTTTCTTCAAAATTAACCGATCGTTAAGGGGTTAAATTTAAGATGATTTTGGTAATAGTTTACAATCGGAGGCGTTCTTATATTTAGCAGCAAGCTGAATACCTGTTCTTCACAAGGGGTGAATAAAAAATAAGTAAAGAATCAATAAATTAGTACTGAGAAACGCTACAAAATCATGGTCAAAACTGAAAAGCATATACCGACACAATTAAAGAGCTTAATGGAAGAACCAGGGAAATGAATGAATCAGAGAAAATAAAAAAGAAGTGTTTGCATCAATATGGGCATGTTCAATGAACTGTTTTTGCATTCACATTCATCTTAATTATAACTAATCACATCAGTTTTTAGTATGTTGCATGATTTTTATTTCAAATTAGGCAGTAGTAAATAAAAGAAAGCAAACAATTATTAGTACCGACTTCTAATAAATTGATAATAAAACAGTTCGAAGCTCTTAATTTTTTTTATGCTTTTATTTTTGAATTAGTAATAAAGGTGAAAGAGAATTTGTGACAAAAAGTTTCTCCCGTGGTATGGCATCCTCTTAATTAATGCAGAGTTTTCCGTAATCACCTCCCTTTCTATATGTGAGGTGTTCAGTAATGATAGTCTTTAAGAAAAATATTTAGAATCCTTGTCAAAAATGTAGTAAAAAATAATAAACACGCATTATTTTTTGGGATTTAATTATTAAGCTAGAAAGAAATTTAAATGGTGTCGAAATCTACCGGATTACAGGGGTAAAAAAACATAAAAACCAGTTTAATTGCTCAATTAAACTAAGCGAAGCTTCTAATGCTTATGTCTTTTTCTCTAGGATAATGAAACACGATTTGTTCCCGTCTACCGAATCGACAAATACCACGATTTACTTACGCGGGCGGACGTCACTTTCAGGTATCCAATGTGATACCTGAAAGTGACGTAGTGTTGGTATCTGGATTCTGATTGGTTGTTGAAACCTGGCATTTGTTTACCTTACATTATTTATATTTTATTTCGAGTAAGCTAAGCCCGTCAAGTGTTAATTCGCTTAAGTGACTTATTCTATATTCTTACACAAAGATTCTTTCACAAAGATTTCACTTCTTTCGCTATTTATTTCTCACTCGAGACAAAGACAGGCATGAAGTTATGTAGAACATAAATAAACTAATCATACACCGAAGTTACCAAGTACACAGAGCAAAAATATATCACGGCTATAATAAAATACATATACAAATAATAAATCTAAGTTAAGTAAAAGACGAATAAGAATTATATTTCAATAAATTCGAAGGAATGATATTTTAATAAATTCGAAGCGTGATACGGCGCTGTACCTAATTAACTTCACATTACTTAACATTCGAACTTATGTGTAGAAACACGCCATTTTGCTTATAAGCGACCAGCTGACGTTGACGTCATAGGTCACGTGTGTGTATCCGTGATCTTCTTTTTCTTGATGTACAAGTACCCAGCTGTAAAATTATCACTCACTATTCAGCTTATTTTTCTTTCTTTCTTTTTTTCCCTTTAAAGTTACTTCTGAACTTATGAAAAACTTACAGAACATAAGAAAAATTAAGCCTTTTTTCGCATGTAAATTAAAGGTGAAGACTTATTTTTAGCAGAGGATAAGGGATGGTATTGTTAGGAATCTTACCTTTCTTGCAATCTACGGAAGACGAAATAGCTTGAGACCATCCGGGACAGCATGAATAAGAAGTTTCAGTTTTGGCTACCACTCTTTCTACTGTTCGATAAGCTAATTCATATGCTACTCTGGAAAATAAAATTGCTCTTTAACTTATTAATAGATAAAGGTATGCAAAAGAACAGGGTATACTTTTTTGCTGCATAGGCTTAAGTGAATTACAACAGGAATAAAGCACAGATTTTTGTCCATTTCCTGTACTTGATTTGGGCTTTATTCACGTTGTATTTCACTTAAGATAAGAGATGACTTTCTTACTTAAGATCTCTCACTTCACTTAAGATAAGAGATGATGAAAATGACTTTCTTTTAAAAAAAATTACAAATAATGATTTTTTTTAAATCATTTCACATCACCAGGTCTTAAAGTTTAGATATTTTCATATAGTTTTTTTTTTTTTTCAATTATGGAATTTCTAGTTCATGGCACGATCTAAATTTATATAAATTCAATCTAATTGACGAGGCAATAAAATATCAATTTACGACGGAAAAATTGCTAGTCGGTTAGAAAAGGTTTTCCTAAAGTTATAAATTAATAATTTTCGGTAATAAAAAAATAATTTCGTTAATAAAATAACGTTTTTTTCTCTCTTTTTAAAAAAGTACACAAAAAAAATATTGTCAAATAACTATAAGTTCTGTGAATTAATTAGAGTTTCAAAATCATGATAGTTCTACTTGGCACTTTCATTAAGTTATTTATGCTATTATATGCCAAGATATGGAACATTTTTGCAAACAAGTTATAAAGATAATTATGAATTAATATTTAAAGAACTGTTCTAGTTGATTAAAAGTTGAGAAACTTAAACAAAATTCCGTATCTTTCAACTAGGGGGAAAACGAAATTAGACGTATTTAAACAATACTACAAAACCAAAAAAACTTCTTAAACGAATACTATTTATTCACTTAGTAATTTCAATTAAATACGACAATTTATTATCGCTTAAATAACAATTACATTTATTATAAAACAACAGAATTAAAAAAATTAATCTGCAAGCGAAATGCTTCGAACACAGTGTAAGAATGAATGGTAGCCAAGTGTGTCGAGAACGAATGTGGTAACTAAACACGCTAAGAGTTGAAACCGATTGAAGTTACTTGTAATGCTCTAACCTACATTTAAATGCATGAAATCTAATGCTTTAAAAACAACTAATAAAACATCACTTTTTGCTTACATACCATATAGTTTTGCTTTCCGAGCAAGTAATGAATGCAAATAAAATAATGCAATAATAGTAGCTTACCTGTAACCAGTACAGTAAATTGAATTATCTTTATCACATCGTCGAAGGTAAGACTGGTAAGCGGGCTTGCAATAGGACTGCATTTCTTTCAATGGCAGCATTCTGATTCTATTATGAGCACAAACATGGCGACTGAAATAAAAATAATCAATGTTTTTATCGTTTAACACTAATATATCTACAGAGCGCAAAATAAAAAAGCAAACACTCTTAATGATTTAAGATCTAATGATAGGATTTTCATATGGAACTTCCTCATAGTGCGGTTTGAGGGTCTAACCTTAAATATACAGACGATATTTTAATTGCATACGATATTTTAATTGCAAACGATATTTTAATTGCAGACGATATTTTAAGTGCAGACGATATTTTAAGTTACGAAATCGGACTCGAAAACGTACTTTTTTCTGAATAACCTTTTCGAACGGATTCAGATTTTTGACTCTTAAAGTATGGACGGTAACCGCAATAGTAAATTATGTATCCATTATTTATCCAGGAGAACAGTCGAAAATTTGGAGCACTTAGCTCTTTCAGTGTTTTCTTTTCCAATAAAAAAATGAAGACTTTAATTTATCAAATAAGTTAAAAATAACAATATTCTGCCAAAATAAAATGATAATAAACTTTTTGATCACTGGGGGGGGGGGNNGGGGGGGGGGGGGCTGTGACTAATGCGTTTACTGGGATTTTTAAGACCGGACACATATGCCCCAATAGTAGATATTTTCGTCTGTGGGACATATATGTTAACTTTAATTTGAAAAGAGCTAGGTGGAATTTAATTTGTTCAACGAAGGGAGCAGGGAGCTGGACTACCTAAGTAGTTTAAAATTAAAGATTAGATTCAAGTTTAAGGGACGTAGGACAAAATTTTCTTTGGCGAAAAAATTTAAAAAAATATATTTTAAAAAAAAACAACTACAAAATGAGGCTTGTTAATTGATATTGGCTGAAGTCGAAGCTTTTCTTCCTCAGGCTAACTTAGGTTTATAAACTAATTAACGTTTAATGCAGAAAAAAATATCTCCTCATCTTATTTTGGCTGAAATGTTCCTGCATTCTCATTATGAACCCTTAAACTCAGACAAAAATTCCAATGTTATCGGTCACACACACAGACTGCTACGCATTATAAATCCGTCATAAATCACACCACCGGTGGGAAAAATTTCTCCATTCATTAACACATCATTTTATTTCCAGCATAATTAAGCATGTGTGCGCGGATCATTTCCGTAAGAATCTTTTTTTACAGACTTTGACAGCGGCGGATAAATCAAAAACCTGAGAACCGAAACAAGAATGAATAGAAGGGGAAGAAAAAACAATTTGAAGTGGAAACACTAATAAAATATAAACTGCGACCAAAACACTTGCGGGAAGAGAGCCGAGATCGTTTTCGATAAAGAAGCGTTTGTCAAACGTTGCAACAAGCTTGGAAATTAATGGAATTCATTACTTTCCGTTTTCGAGATAAATGTTCGCTTTTACCTACTTAGAAACAAATTTGTAGGCTTCGCCAAAACACTATTCTCGGTGCTTCAAACCGATAAAGAGGAAACTAGTTTGAGATGAATATCGTGGGAAACGGAGAAGATTATGCATATTATCGAGGTTTTATTCATTTAGTGAACATTAGTGAATTTTAACACTTTCACGTAGCCTCCCCAACAGCGTAACAAGGATATTTTAAGGGTGAGGTCTAGAAATTTTCAGACTTAAAGATATGTGGGAAATAAGTTCACAGATAAGCAAAAAATTCAGTAAAAAATTTTTGCTACGTTTTAAGACATCAAGTTTTGGGGAGTAAATTTAGGGAAAAATGTCCCTTTTAATGCAAATCCTTTCCCTTTTAAGCAATATATTTATATACACACATATTTCTCACGTGTGGCATCATAAACTCGTGGATTTCTACTATTTGCAATAGTTATTATTCATTTTGTTAGATTGCTTTAAGTAATAATTTAAGTAGTGTTAAGTAATTAATTATGCTTCCTCACGGGTTACATTTGAGAGCCTTCTTTAGTATAAAAAGAAACTTGTAAAGGAAAGCAAACTAATGTAAAAAGGAATAAATTTTTGAATGAGAATAAAAATCAGGAAGGAGGTATAGTTAGATTTCTACAGCTGAGCCAGATCACGCATGGGTATTGAAAAAGTTATGAGTGGGATACACAAAATTGACGGACTAATGTCGAAATAACTGGTTTAACAAAAAATCTTTCAAAATAAAGAATTTTCAATTCATTATTATTTTTCTTTGTCATATGACAGGAATTGACTGAACTACCTGCAAGTTCTAATACATATGTTCTTCGCAGAACAGTTACAACGGAATAATCTGGGCTGGGTTATCAATAAAATATTTGAATCATTTCGTTTCATGATCCACATAGAATATTTTTGCGACTGTGTATACATACAAGGGAAATGAGTGTGAAAACATGTATGGATTTTCTGAGAAGATAGTCCAGATAGGAGATTTAAGTTGATTTTAATGTCAGCAACAACCTTTGTCACCGAATTCAACAAGGTTTATAAAAGATAAACAAATAAACAATGCAAGCTTGAAACAATGTTAAATTTAACTATGCTACTTTAAACACTGAAGTTTGAATTAAGCTTGCATAAAAAAAAACCTTTATATCGATATTGAACCTGCATTTACAAAACAAGAATAGAAAAACTTTCGAAATCGAGAATAAGTTATCATTCTCAAATCAAGAATATAAAACGTTCTTAAAGCGAGGATAATCTTCCCTTCTCATGATCTATTTGAGACTTTATAAAAATCACTGAAACAAGATTTATTTGCGTATTTATATGCCTTTTTTAACTCTTTAAAAGTTAAGATTGAGCTGATATATAAGTTTTCAGCACAAACAAAACGTTACCTTTGAGAGCGAAGCAAGAATTAAAAAAAAAAGCAAAAATAAAAGGCTAAAATAATAAAATAAAAATAAAAGGCTCTTGTAAAGTTTTTCGCAAGCCTTTATTCAGTTTTTGAGGAAACAATCTTGGCATACTAATATTTCCACTAAGTTTAAAAAGGGATTAATTAGTTAATCTTTCTATGCCAAGCAAATAAAAATGAAAATACAGCGTTTGCCGTTGCTTGTCATCCTGGAATGGATCAGTCCTAGCAACAATTTAACCTTTTCAATAAAGCTTTAGAACCTATGACAAGATAGTACAACCGAGATATTAAAATATTATGTCTGCTTACGTATGTAGCCTTTCATTCTATACTATCGAAAGAACTTGGAACTTCCATAACTATAGTTCAACTATAGTTATCGAAGTCCATAACTAAAAAAGGGGGAAATACTGGCGAACAAACGAGTTGTCGGATTAACAAACCCTTCCGGCAGGTGTACTTCTCGAGAACTCACACCTGTCTGAATTTTCAGTCTGGTATGTGATTTTCAAACACTCGGCCCTCTGAAATTAAGAAAAATATCTTTTATCAGAGTCCTATATGGGCAACAGTTGGATAGTCCCATATAAGCGATTTTTATGGGACTACCAAACTGTAACCAATTTCAAACTTTTATCGCATTTTGTTTATCCTTTCTATTCCAATGAGACTATATACAAAATAAATTTCCGTGATGACTGTTCTTAACCAGACCAAGCTTGCCATATTCAGAACACGAGAAAAAATTTAAGCTGGTCTTTAAACTAAGGCACATTTTGAATTGCAATAAAAAAATATTAAATAAAAATTTTTATCTTTAGTTTTCCCGAAAAACTTTGGTTATGGCCATTCACTTTAGAGGATCCTACAGCCCGTAGATTGCAAATCCCAGTATAAAGACTAAATAGCGCTATTAATATCAAGTTGGAGGAATTTTAAGATAAGTTTTTTTTGTGAATAACGTCATTTAAAAAAATAAATTCAGGTTTTGTCAAACACAAAGTTCAAAGCGCTATAATTTGTTTCATTTTTATATGCCTTATTCCTTATATAAAAACAGAAATACTACATTTTTACATGACAGAACGAAAAAATAATACATTTAAACGACAAGCTATTTTTAAAAAATAATTTAATTTTTTTCCCGCCTGCATGAACATTATTAATACATCCGCTTTTCGTATTACGAGCTATAATGTCATCAATGTAATTTTATTTTTTCTGCTAAAAGTATTTTTTCAATCAACAAGATAATATCTCTTAAAGAGGTAAAACATTTGCTGAGGGGAAAACTGTATCTAAATATACACATCTTGTCGAACATCGTGTTCTGCTTCTTTTGGCGGCACCCGAAATGTCCTCCGTCTTTAGGGGAAAAAATTTACTTTCTTGATAACAGAAACGTTATTAAAGTTGATACCAAGGTAATTTAGTTTAGGGAATATTTGGCGTTTCCATTATCGAGTACTTAGTTTTTTTCTCCCCTGTGAAGCGTAATTTAGATACGTTTGTATCTGGTCCTCAACTATTTTGGGAAGAAAAACGTGTTTTAAGCAGTTATATCATAATGTAACAGTCTAGTGTGCATCAGTAGGGATCAGTAGAATTGTCTTGGAGAAACATTTTGAAAATATATATATATAAACCTTAAGAAAAGCATCGGAATTTAACATTCAGATCAATTTCTTAATATTTAGGGCAGTGTTTCCCCTAAGTGTGGTACGCGTATCCCCAGGGGTACGGGAACAGTTTAGCGAGGGGTACGCGTTCTTATGCGAAATATCTTGCAACAAACGAAAATTTTATCTANGGAAATAATATGGAGTAATACCATAAGAAAAGGAATTCAACATTTAGGGCAGTGTACCCAAAGTGTGGTACAGTTTAGCGGGGGTACGCGTTCTTTTGCAAAATATCTTGCAACAAACGAAAATTTCAAAACTTTTTACTTAAAAACAAAGCTAGCCATGAAAATTTACGATTACTTATTTTGGCTATTTTTTGCAGAGTTAACAGTTAATAATTGGTGCTGTCAACAGCCAGTTGTGATTTTTAACTTTTGTGCAATTTTTTTGCAGTAAAAAATATATTTATTTTTTTATTAGTGGTACACAGCGTTACGAAAAATTAAGAAAGGGCACACAAAAGTCATAAGTTTGGGAAACACTTATTTAGGTTAAGAATGTTTAGGGGAAGTGAAAAATTC